AATCACATAAACATCCTGAAAATTCTGCATAAGAATGCAAGTTCAAAGCACGTTTTAATCGATTGGCACTGCTAACATCGCGTCATTTTTGGCGGTGCCATTTCCACGCACTTATCGATTTGGTGTCCTGTGCGAGGGATGATGGACACAAATGATATTCCCACAACTCTCTTGCCAATAACAGCGAAATAAGATTTAAACATTCATATGGACAGTTTATCGAATGCGTTGCGTTTTCGTCATCAAAGAAAAACTGGCAAATCCGGACCAAGATTGACCAACAAACTGAGTCTACCACCACCTACAAATAGCAGCATTCTTCCGCTGTTGCACGTGCGCAATCACGCAAATAGTTACCTGACATTAGAAAAGCAAGATACATGTATATGTATCGCGATATATCAAATATCGTAGTGACCGAAATATGAGGCTGCCATTCAGTTACCTGAGAACATCAGAAATTAAATAAAAAACGACAGATTCAGCTGGGTTCCAGGTGAGTTTCCCGATAGAACCAAATTAGTTTGTAAATGAGTGTATATTCGCTAATGTCGTGGAATTTGGTTTCATGTAGAACATAAGGTTGACGGAAACCCGGGGACCGAGCATACCTGATGTGCCCCAAGAAAGGCGAAACTGGTCGTGGGCTGTCGATGTATTTTCAGCAGCCTTATAAGTAGTATATTACAAACATAAACATGTACCACGATATTTCAAATATCGTAGCGACTGGAACACGAGGCGTTCTGTTGCAGCACATTCAGGTTCCAGAAACATCTTAAAATGAATTAAAAAACGAGAGTTTTGGCTGGGTTCCAAGTGAATCTCTCTAAAGAACCAAATCAGTTTGCAAACGAGTGTATATTCGCTACTTTCGTGCAATTTGGTTTCAAGTAGAACATAAGTTTGACGGAAACCCGGGGACTGCACCTATCTAATGAGCCCTAACTAGGCCCAAACCGGTGTGGACTCTCGATGGATTTTCAGTAGACTTATCGGTAGTAAATGACAAACATAAAAATGTATCGCGATATTTCAAATATCGTAGCGACTGAAATATGAGGCGGCCTGGAGCAGCACATTCAAATGCCTGAGAACATCATAAAATGAATTGAAAGCAAGAGATTCAGCTGGTTTCCAGGTGAGTCTCTCGAACGAACCAAATTAGATTCCAAAAGTATGTATTCGATAATTTCGTGCAATTTGGTTTCAAGTAGAACATAAGTTTGACGGACACTCAGGGACGGCGCCTAGCGGATGGGCTCGAAGAAGGGCGAAAGCGGTCGTGGGCTATCGATGCATTTTCAGCAGCATTATGAGTAGTACATTACAAACATATACATGTTCCGCGATATTTAATTTATCGTAGTGACTGAAACATGAGACGGCCTAGTGCAGTACATTCATTTGCCTGAGAACATCATAAAATGTATTGAAAAGAAAAGAGAGATTCAGCTTGGTTCCAGGTGAGCCTCTGGAAAGAACCATATTAGTTTGCAATTCAGTGTATATTCGCTAATTTCGTGCAATTTGGTTTCAAGTAGAGCATAAGTTTGATGGAAACCCGGGGACTGCACCTATCTGATGAGCCCTAACTAGGCCCAAACCGGTGTGGACTCTCGATGGATTTTCAGTAGACTTATCGGTAGTAAATGACAAACATAAAAATGTATCGCGATATTTCAAATATCGTAGCGACTGAAATATGAGGCGGCCTGGAGCAGCACATTCAAATGCCTGAGAACATCATAAAATGAATTGAAAGCAAGAGATTCAGCTGGTTTCCAGGTGAGTCTCTCGAACGAACCAAATTAGATTCCAAAAGTATGTATTCGATAATTTCGTGCAATTTGGTTTCAAGTAGAACAAAAGTTTGACGGACACTCAGGGACGGCGCCTAGCGGATGGGCTCGAAGAAGGGCGAAAGCGGTCGGGGGCTATCGATGCATTTTCAGCAGCATTATGAGTAGTACATTACAAACATATACATGTTCCGCGATATTTAATTTATCGTAGTGACTGAAACATGAGACGGCCTAGTGCAGTACATTCATTTGCCTGAGAACATCATAAAATGTATTGAAAAGAAAAGAGAGATTCAGCTTGGTTCCAGGTGAGCCTCTGGAAAGAACCATATTAGTTTGCAATTCAGTGTATATTCGCTAATTTCGTGCAATTTGGTTTCAAGTAGAGCATAAGTTTGACGGAAACCCGGGGAACACGCCTACCTGATGAGTCCCAAGAAGGGCGAAACCGGTCGTGTGCTGTCGATGGATTTTCTGCAACCTTATGTTTAGTACATTATGTACATTTTCTTTATAACCTTTTTTTAGTCTGTATTCTACTACAATTAATGCTATACAAACGTCGGCCCGTTCATATTTGTGGCAAGAGCCGCCAGGTTGCATGTCTCTCGGTGACCTGATTACCATAATCTGACACACAGGGCATTCAGTTTCCTATGTTGGACAGAACTTTTGGCAGTTCTTTCGAACAAGTTAAACACCAACAACCACGCTTTTGTGGTTGTCGTCGATAAGATAGCCACTGGAAATTTAGTCATCACAGAACACACCCTGGGTGATGTCGACCGTAGTAGGCATTCATGCCTTCATGTTTTTACCGCATCTGTGCGTTCGGATCTTGCACCAGGTAGTCAGTAATTTTTCGGTTGACGGCACTATTACTGAGCACTGTAAAACAGCGAAATTATGGGAAGCTTTGTCGTGGTTGGCACTTTTACGGCCATTACAGAACAAGAGAAAAAAGCTAACCGTAGTATTGTTTACAAACGAAGAGATATTTTTAGTTGTGTAACTGATGGACAAGCTTAACGGAGACCCCATTGAGGTGCGAATTCTGTAGACCCGGACGCGCGGATTTATTTATCAGTCTAGTCTGGACTAAACATTATCTGGCTTCTAGACAAAAATGAGTTGGCACTGCAGCACCCCTTAACCGTTAAATCAAGAATCAATTCTAAGACGATCCCCACCCAATCAGATGCCAACATTTTGAGCCCCTCTTAAGGGTTACTGGCTACCGGTAAACGATCAGTTATTCGATTTACAAAATAATGTGAGCGAAGCCACTGTAGACTGGCATAGCTGTAAGCAATGTAATCACAAATTTATTCGATACCATAATGTTATTGTCAGTCCATTTACCCAGATCGGCCAAATTATTCAGGTAATGTCGACATTGGCAGGACTGACAAAATCTGATGCAAATCGGATTTATATTCCTTGAGCTCTGCGTGTATTTTGTGTCCATTAGGCGGCACACCAAATTTACTGAAACCAAAAATTTCCAGTACTCGGTACAGTACTTGGTACATGAAATTGAGGCATACGACCAAGTTTCCCGTGTTATTTTATTCTTGTCGTTCAGAGAATGCCATGCACCTGAAAGACACAAGCAAAATATGTTGTGGCACTGCTCGTTTAGTTCTCTGCGCGAGGAAGTAAGCTCGTCAGCACGAGGGCTCGCATAAAAATTTTTCTAAGGGTGCTTTGAACTGGGTTGTAGATGGATTGTGAACAACCGTCAGAGGAAGGTTACTTTACGCAGCAACTATCCTAAATGATCAAAA